GGATAGTCCTAGTCGTAGATGATATATATATCTATAGAGATATAATAGGGGTATGACTATATATATATTATATGACCGAGCGTTCTGTCATTTGGTTCGAAATTTTTTTCGTAGAGACAGACCAAAAAATACTGCATAATAGACGAATGAATTCGTTTCATGAAAGTGAAGAAATTATTACGTTTGATCAGATCAATAGCTACAAGCTACCGAAACAACAAGGGAGTTTTAAACATGTTATTCAAAAGTGTTGCCGTCTCCTATCTGCTCTCTAAAGATTTACGCAGTCAGCCTGCGCAAATTTCTGGCGCATCAGATGCTCGCAGTACGACCACTTTTTGCTTCTACTGTAGTGTCGTCCACAAGTCGTGCGTGTCAAAGGCCGTTTTTAAAACCAAGACTCGGTTCACAAGGTCGGACCGTGTCATGAGGTGAAGGCGGTGTCGCTCGCTCGGCTAAGCAAGACGAGTCTGGCTCTGGGCGGTGTCGCCCGGTGGGGGGGGTGCGATATGGTAGGGCGGCGTAATCTTCACCACAGCAGTTTTGGTTGGTGTGCGTTAAAAAAAATAAGATACATTGAGTATCTCTAATCAATCAAAAAAGGAATTTGTCATTATATAAGGATGAAATTTGAGACAGACAGGATTGAAGAAGCAACTTCAATAAAGATGTTTTGTGGGGGGGGGGTTGGAGATATGCCACAAACGAATCAAAACATAGTCGGCATTTTTTCAGTCAAGGCTGATGCGTGCCATATGGCTGAAGGTGACGACGCGGGCCAATTAATGGAATAATTAAGAGGGACTTTTTTTTGTTCGTGAGTGTAATTTTGGCGAGATTGAAACGTTGTCACGTAAGCCGTTTAGATTAGCAGGCACTGTTGGCAGCTGTTTTATGAGTATGTATGAATGCTTAAAATAATCCATTTTATGACTGCAATAATAGAAGCATCATACCCTCGCTGCAAATTCGAAACGCGACGCTAATAGCTATCCTCCTAAACCCCCGAGTTTTTTGAAGAGAAAACCATACCGTATTTGCTGAACTCTTAGCGTGAATCGATTCCCCTGCCCATTAGAGTTTGTTATTCGAGTCAAAAGATCTGATATGACTGATCTGGGAGAGTTCTTCACTTGTATTCCGAAATTTCTAACGTTTAACTGGGTCATTTTTCACAGTTATTATAATCTTTTCATACATACCCAACGAGAATTGAGTGTGTGCAGGCAAAAATAACGACCTCTAGACCGAAGTCGAACACGCTACGTATCACTCGAGTAGCCAGGGATGTTCTCCTGCTACCACTGACACAGGCAACCGAGGTAGCATTCGCGCTCGTCCACTGTTGTTTTGTGGGTTATATGTTAGTTACCAATTATGTAACAAATCCGCCATTACTACGCGTTGCCTACGAGTAAATTAGGTGGTCAAAATTAGTGTAGTATATTATGCGAGCAACTCGCGTACTGCGAAAACATATACGGCATTACATCCTTGTCAGCTTGTGAACTCTTTCAATTCAATGCAATAGCCGAAAAGTTGTCGCAGATAGTTTTTGAGTCACGATAAATTAATGAAGTGGATTACGACGGGGTACAACTTTATGTTACGACGCTGCTATGCGATGTACGATCTAATATTCGAATACAACTTTCGCAACAATTTTAATTTGCAGAAGCAACGTAGGCGAACTTTGATCTTACACTACAAAAGTGCGCGTCCTGTCGATAAATCGATGCATATCGTGATTTGACTACTATTCATATGGTCTTCAGGGGCTACAGAATGTATCATTGGGGGGAGAAATGCACACCATATTTGTCGCTATACAAAACCGCACACGTACCTAACAAAATTACCTCTGGCGAAGTCTCAGTGAGCAGACAACGCACATCGGTGTTGGGAGAGTTAGCAAAGAATTATAGTCGTCGTTGGTTGTTCATGAACAAACAGGATGGGGAGTCTCATGTTACGCAGTCGAGCAAGCTCAGTGCAGCATTGAGTAGATGTCGTCATCGATGCTTTGCAAAGCAATCAACTTGATTGCTAATTAGTCCCTAACGTGACAGATAAGTTTTACTGATAAAAAGAGGTAGAAACCGGAATACATTCAGGACAATGCGTACCATTTGACACAATTCATAACGAAAAGTGATAATTTTCAATACGCGCATTATTTTCACTAAGAATACATTTTTATGAGTCCTCTCCAGTAAGTCTTTTTTCACAACAGACTACTGCCTACTATTATCAAAATTTTGCCTTATATAGCGAGAAACTCTAGCTCCGTGCAGGTTCGACTGACAAACGTCGTATCACAGATGCAAACCTTCGCATCATAATTTCCATGAAAATATACAGGCGACAAGTATGAAAAGAAGTATGTTAGGCAAGTCAAGCTTAACGATTGTCTCAATTAATTGTCCGTTATTTCAGCTATAAACTATGTCGCCACATTTTTGTTGAAGGTGCCAGCAAATCCGCGAGCGTCAATAGTGTCTAGGTAGATCCCATTATGCTATGGGTGTCTACTAGTTCGCCTGTAAAACTTGCTAGTCTGGAACATCTGGGCACGTCGATTTTGAACGTTTCCCGTTGATGACGACCTACGTTGTCTTTCCGAAGCGCTAATGCCGCCTGGATCATCATAAAAGGCCGTGAAAGACTGCGGGTCCATGGTTTTTTGGCTAACTAACGCCACTTCGAGTAGCGGAACAAAATCGAGACTGCAAAAAGAAAAAGAAAAAAAAAAATAAAAAGACTAGAAAAAAATCCGTCTTTAAAGATATGGTTAATACTTGGTTTTCATTATGCAACAAATTCGCAAGTTGTTTCCTTTCCCTGTCCGAACACAATATTTATATAATATATTAATCTCATATATTTTATAATATGTTCATATGTAAACATTAGATAAATATTTTGAAACAACTAACTGTTGTACCCTTATGATCTAGTAATAACATATTAAATGTTAAAAATCTCTAGGAAAATACTATATTCTATACACAAATAAGCTCATGAGGTGGCCGTGATGGTTTGTTGGGATGGTGTTTCTCGCGCACTGGTAATGAGGTTAATTGGGCACCGATTTATACGCCCATGGCTAGGTGGGACCACTAATGGCTAATCCAATCACCTGTCAGGCGTGAGTAGGGGCTGAATCAGTAGATCACGCTTCGGGTTAGTCTTTTAAGCACCCGAAAAGTTACTAACCTCGGAATAGATGCCCGACTTTGCATCAGTTTGCCACGCGGGACTTTTACGAAGAACAACTGTCGTTTGGATTATAACTGTTTATAAATAGTGACAATACAGTACAAGCAAGATGGCGATGAGTAGATACGAAGAAGCACTGTTAAATGGAATACTGGAACTGGACTACACGGAGTTAGCTTACACAAAATCAGTGGCCCATTGAAGAGACGAACATTAGTGGGCCACTGCACCAAGGAAATCAGCATTGTCTGACCCTTGACTCACTTATATAGAGGCCGATGACAAACAGACTCTCTAACCGAAAACAGAAGGCGTATCGTAAATAAAAGTGTGAGGACAAAGGATAACTGACAATCAGCCGATGGTAAGAAGCACAGACGTTACAAAAAAATGCAACAAAAGAGCTTCTACCATATTTACTTGAAAGCGATGCTATGTCTCAGAACAGACATACACTCCAACTCCATGTAAAATCTGAAACTGTTTTAGACCCCTTAGAAACGGCAATTGATCGATGGCACGGTGAAACTAGAAAGAGGTGCGCGATTATCTTTACTCAATTAGGATTTTTCTTCCATTTGGGAAAAAGAATCTTAGGTCTTTTGTGTCATTCTGACACTCAATTTTCTTTACATGGCTATATGTTCTTCCCGCGCACGTAACTTTTCTGTACGATAAAAACTATGAGTGCGAAAAGTAACTTTCTTTTTGCTCTTACAGCGTTCTATGATAACCTTTCGAAAAAATAACTACACCGTCGAAATTCTCGAGATTTGATCTATCAAATGACTACTAGAAGTTTGGCGAAGAGCCATATGCGAGCCCCAGCAGAGCAAATATACAAATTGAGTGTGAAACATAGTTATACTTTGGCTCCTACAACATAATACGAACGCTTTTTCAAAATTCAAACGCACTGCTGGAATAGCAGAGATTTGAGCTTCTGAATGACTACTAAGTGTCTAAAATAAAAGTTTCATCTAGTGGGCAAGGCTTTCAAATAGTCGTGTACCTTAGATGGTACACGTCGTCCTTAAAGTTAAGAATATTCCATCAAAATAACAACAGCCATAGATAAGAGTTAGTGCAAGAAATACACAACGATAAAGAAATAGTAACTAATCGCAGAATGGTTACTATATTTCGGGGTCAGTAAACTGGCACCAGATTTGTCTGAGAGGATAAGCAATACTGAGTCGACCAAGCTACGATCTAAAAACGAATGCATGGCACACCTCTAAGGGATTGGATTGAGATTGCATGCAAATGTAATATATACATATGTATACATATATATATGTGCACATATGTATATATTACATGTATATGCATATATACATACGTAGGCACATACGTATATACATATGCATGTGTATATATGCATACATATATATACATGTAGATATATATTCATATATACAAATAAATAAATAAATAAATGAATAAATAAACAAATATATATGTATATTATATATATGGTAGAATGCCGGGTGGCGTAACTGTTAGTGAAGCAGTGTTTCAAAAAATGACGTGATAGTGATGCACTGATTTGTCTTCTCTCCCCAAACTCTCTTGCAGTCCATCAGCAACTGCCTTGGAAAACGTTCTAGGTCAGCTACATCCAAGACTTTCAAGGAGTCGTCTGGACTTATCCAAAAACTGTCAGCTTAAATGGGTTTGATGCCGACATAAGTTTAGTAAACCGAATCCGCTGACTCGTCATTACTGACAGTTTCGATATCTTACATCGCAGAAAGAGTTTGAGTGGCGTGCAAAACTTCTGCATCAGGAGGGGCTCGAACCCGCATTTTCACCCTAACCAGAAGCGCGCGCTCTAACCCACTGCACTACCGACGCCTGTTTTGCCACACTCTCTACGCTACAGCACATCAATGTGTCAGCAAGCAAATGTCAACGGTTTGGCTAGGTTGTCGATGCGAAATTGACCATGATTTGATCTCACAGTGAACGTTTTCTTTCTTCACACGCAAAAGAATGACAAAAGAGGATGAAGGATAAACACCTGGGGAATGCGCCATGCATTCGTCTTCGAATGCTAACTTCATTTCAGGTGACTGAATGCACATTTGCCCATTATAATGACTCGCGTTGACCTCCCGCTGTATCAGATCGGTGCTGCTTATCCTCCCAAGCAAGTAAGTCTATGGCCACCCTGGTACCAATCTACTGACCCGGAGGGATGGATGGCTTGGTGAGCCATGGGCGCGAGATGACTCATCGAACTCGTGTGCGACGCAGGGCACCTCTAACCGCTGCGCCACATGCGCCCTTAAAAGAGGTCCGAAGTGCGCGGGATAGAGACTGACATTGTTCAAAAACAAGGGAATAGTCGCAGAAGACAATGCAGAATACGGAAAGCTAGAGAGATTTTTTTAGAGAGAGAGCTAGATTTTATCAAGTAATATCGATGATCCCGTGAGACTAGTGAGTCGCTCCTTTCCCGGTTTGCACGGACCGATGGTACAGACCATGTAACCCCTGAAATAGCGGTTCGGTGACCCGAAGTCCCCCACGGAGACCGATTCCTCCACTGGCAGCGATCATGGGTGAGGCGGGTGAGAAGCGTCGAGGCAGCGAGCAAAAAGAAGAGAGGCAAAGGAGCAGCGAGGCAGCGCTGATGGGTGCCGTGCATCCACCACTGTGCAAAGCAGGACTGATGCAGAAAAATCAATAATCAAACAAGTAACAATTTGATCAATAAAGAGGACGGACGATAGATGACATTTACATGAGCAATGGTGTCTCGTCGAGTAAGTAACTGTGTGACCTACGATCGTTCGATTATATGCAAGATGAATGAGAAGAACGTGCGTGTAAACGCGATGAATAAAAAGAGCTGTGAATAAGGAGTGCCACCTTAAGAACACAAACACTCACTCACAAACAGACTGGCCACGCTACTCGTCGCGAACGACCGCTCTGGACGAGCGGCGAATTCGAAATGGCGCAGAGGCTGTGTGCGGACGGGCGGGCTAGGCCAGAACTGCAGGCACCGCGCGTGATTTGAAAGGTGACACGCCGCCAACAGCGATGCAAGAGAGGACTCAGTCTCCGAAATAACAAGCATTGTTAGCTTATACGAGACTGTGGTCGAATCCTTGAATTCCACAGTCTCCCCTATCACAGTATGAGTGATATTTCGGTAAGTGGCCGGAAATAGATCAAAATTGGGGCGGGAGATGTGGTCGAGCGAGGTGTTCTGCGCGCCTAATAATCTAGAAGAACATTTGGTTCTTCTGACTAGGAGGGAACAAATGGGAAAGCGACCTCATTGGCTGGAGAGGAACTTCTCATAGAAGAGTTAGTAACCATTCGGAAGCTGAGACTTGAGGCTACAGCTCCATGTTGGCGGCTTTTCAAGACACCCTTTTGTGGCTTTGTAGTATCCAGGGAAAAATTATGATTTATACCCACTGTGCGCCTTCATTTCTATGCGTATAATTCGCTGGGAATCGAAAAGCATATTAATTTCTGAAGAAATTTTCGTGGTATCTTGACAGTCAGTCAATTTGTCTGTAATTTCTTTCAAAACGGAGGAAAAAATTCCTATTGAATATCAACATATCGATCGTCCCGCGTCGCCCCGCCCCTGCCACGCTCCTTGCCACGGCCCTCGCATTGTCGACTATCCGGTGAACAACGTTGCCAAATATGTAAAACTCGATCTTAATTTCCCTTTCAAACCGCTTTCTAGAAAATGAGCACATCGTTAGAATCAGGAAGTATTACGCTGTCAAAAAAATACCACTGATATCTGTGTCCTTTGAAACCTCTAAATGATCATGATGTACCATTCGATATCAACGGAAAGTCAGATGAGTTTGATGTACTTGAGATAAATGGGTTCAGCTGGTGAACGGTGCTTGACATAGTTCCAACTGATATAGTGGGTTTGATAGCACGTTATATGAAACGGCCGGGCCAAGTGATAAATTTATTTTGTCGACTTGCCGACATTCTGATGGTAAGTTTATTTAGTCATCTTGTAGACGTTGTAAAAACCTAGTTGACGCCAACGCTATCACAAACTGTGCCTAGGGAGTACAGGACATCAATGAAGCAGGTGGCCACTAATTTGATCCAGTCCTCCATATGTTTCAAACGATTCCCGTTCCTTACTGTCGCAACTTTCTAGTAGATATTTTGAAAATGATCTCAAAATCACTATTATCTTTCCAAAAGTTCGAAATTCATCAATGAAGTTATTCATGTAGATGTGGACGATTGGTTTGGCTGAGCGAGATCGATGGAGCATCCTACTCATTTGATAAGAAAACCTTAATTTTTCTGATCAAAAGGGGAGTTCTTGTGAAAAATCCACTTAGTTCCATCCAGTGGGAACACAATGCCGTACAGAAAGAGGTCGTGCTCTAATAATTAATAAGCAGTAGAGCGGCTGCAACGTGATTTCGTAAGATCGTGATTGTGCTGCCCGCCTCACAAACTCTAAAAGTACTGAAGTAGGGTATAAGTAGCTCGAAAAAAGTAGTGTGAACTAGACTGGTTGATAAGAGCACTGCATGTTCCACTCATCTACAGAACTGCGAAACAATGCGCGTGATAGCGTACAAGGTATTTTAGTGACCCGTAGAGCAAGATTTTGAGGAGCTTTCGTCACTTGTTTCCTCGTTATGCCGAGTGCGCAATCGAAAGGTTGAAGCTAAGAGTATCGTGTATCTCGCAAACGAGAGAAGCATCCGAAGTTCTGACCTACGTCACTGACCGAAGATCAAATGCCGTGCCGATGCCGTTCCATACGCCAGGATATCGAAAGTAATGTGGGACGGACGCGTAATGCGCTTCAACAACCGGTGACACAGAGCCGTTACCGACTGGTTCCCTGAGATGTCAAGCGCTTCCAGAAAGGCCATCGACCCAAATGTCAAACTTCTTTACAAAAAGTCCAAAAGAAATGTATGATGCTGAACGAATTCTTAGAGCGAGGAAGACCCAATCAGCTACTCTTACACGAGACAGGACAAAATGGAAGTGTCGCTGATACCCGCTCGAGTCATTCATCGGTAAACGGGACGAGAGGTGACAGGAGATACTATCATAGCGAGATGAAACTTTTACATATGCATGATGGATATTTCCAGGATCCCCTAAGAAACACCTTGGAAAAATTCCATTAAATTGAAGTTTTTCAGAACCGTCTCTAATCTGCTTCCTTTTGGATTTCTCAAGTCACATGTACTCCCTTTATTAGGAATTCCAAAGGCGGATAGTACATCGCTTCACTCAACAGCTGATTGCATGCCTAAAACTTTCAAATCACAAGATGACAGTGCAGATAATTTCACATAAAGTACTACGCAAGTACAGAATACTTTTCTCATCGTATTGCTAGTGGGAATTACTAACTTCACTAGATGTGTAGCCAGGATGACCGCAACTATCGCTTGGACACATGTGATTGTTCTGCTGGGGTCATTCATCGATCAGCATCCGTTTTTGGCTCAATGATCTTTCAGCGTATTTGTTCGATTCCCAGAAAAAGTTCTCTGCCGTCACCTGCCGAGTTAGTACTTGCATGAACTCGAATAAGCCGGCCTCCCATTTATGTTGTAACTAATGGCATATTTCTTAGAGCTAGCTAATGATGTCATCAAAGCCTAATTTGTCTTGATCTTGAGTCCTCATTTCTCACACCTTTATTCATCTATGATTTTTCTGAAGGCCAAATCCAGTGACGAGATGACGGCTAATTTGGTGTGAAATTCTGAATTACAATGACAGGGGTCAAGGGGAAGCGTCTATTACTATGATGTACCATAGCGTATTAATTGTTGTTTTTCATTAGCAGTCTCATGATTCTAAAGCTGAATTAATTCCATAGTGTTGTGAGTTGTAATGGTTAAAGATCTTGGTCATCATGATAAAACCAAGCGTTTGTTTATCTTGTTCAGCACGTAAAAACGTTTTGGAAAGTCCTCATGTTTATACTGGAACTCTTCAACCGTGTCTTCATGGAATGCCGGGATGTAGATGTGTAAAGGTGAGAAGCTGAGGCTCGTTTTTTTTTGCCACAAATCTCCATCCGCCAGAAATCCAATTTTGGCCATCATTTGTTCAAAGGAGTCGGATTTTATGGTCAAGCTCGAATGGGCCAGGACACCATATTTTCTCTTAGATCTGACTAGCAGTTAAGCTCCACTTTCATTGATTAAGCTTATTGATCGGTTTTCTGGCCTCAACTAGTCCAAGAATCACATGTATAGCCTAAATCTCCAGATCCCCAATCTAAACTTGAAATGAAAATGGGTGAGCTGTAAGTGTAGGTAGTTACGATTATCGCTAACTTAGGATAGCCTTGACTGAACCTTTAGATTCGAGCAGTCTATTTATGCTTTCATTATTATTTGAGCCAACATGTCATGTGGTCTGGTAAGGGCTCTTGTACAGCCCGAGACACGTGTTTCGTCCTTACAGACTCATCAGTCTAGTCTACTTATGCACAAATTGACTTTTTCTGGCTTATCGCAACATCTTTCCGGGTCAATGAAGAGAGATCAATCATTTCCATCGTTCATTACAAGTATTGGGGGCGTCGTGGCCGAGCGGTTGTGATGCTCGTCGAGTCGCCCGTCGAGCCGAGCTCCACTTCCTAAATTCTCTTCGGCAGTCAACAAAAATGCCACATATGGAACGCCATAGCCAAGATAACCAAGAGATTAGAAGGAGACTCGTGCAACTAGTATTCTATGACGTTCAAGAAGGAGACGAAAAAAAAAACGAATTGAATGCTAGAAGTACTGGGAACAGCAGAGTGAAAAAAAGAACGCTGTAAAGACGGACCAATAAAGTGTTCTAAAAGCAACGAATCGTATTCACGG